TCAAATGGATGGCTAATTTATCTGCGTGTATTTTGTTCTTTCACTCATTTTCAGCAGAATGACAACTGTACCTTGACCTCCCCGAAGACAGATGAGTTTACCGTGAAATGTACTGATATAGTGTACAGTACTACATATTTAGGGCATGGTGTCGACGGCGAAGCGGCTCCGGTGTTGATAGGTAAGTTGTTGTTATCAAGAAAAAATAATAAAAAGGATAATTGATGATGAACAGATAGTAATGATGATGACAATGATGATGATGATGTTGTGGTAGTGTTATGATCATGATTATCATTATCATTATTATTATCATTAGTATTATTTTTGTTGTTTTATCATTATTATCATTATCGTTATCGTCAACATAATTATTTTTGTTATTACCATTACTATCATCATTGCGATTACAATTATTGATTATCCTGATCTTATCATTACTATTGTAATTGTCACAATATAATACTTATTGACATTTATAACTGATGTACATGCTTTATTTACAGAAGTTGCATTGGGCGTATTTTAATCCTAATCATGCCGTGATTACAATTGTTGTTAACTATTTGCTATTGTTATTCAGTACAAATATCCTCTTAACGATTCTTGCAATCTTCAAGCTGCTTGCGAATTCGATCTGTGTATGGTGTACCTCAACACGAGCAGTGACAGCGCCGTTGATGACTACTTGATCAACGACGTCGTCCCAACAGTGCAAGCATTTATCAGCAACTGTAAGTTGAGCGGAATATCGCGATGTGGAAAAATGTCGATCCCGTAAATGTTTATGGAAGTTGCTGATATTTCCTTTCCTTTTCCTTTTCTGCAGTTCTTCTTTACCGTCTGTTTAGTTACTTATTATGGTATTTACTTCCTTCATCTTCTAGTAATTCAGAATTACTTCTCAGTACAATGCTCATTTACTTACTAAACCGTAAGACTTGAGTAGGTGCTATATAGCTTGATTCTTGCTACACATACTGCAACAACTTACTTAAGTTAATTATTAACGGCTCACTTAATATAATGCTTACTGACTTATGTAATTAACTAAGGGAGTGAAACCTTGTTTGTTGCAGTTTCCCTATCGACGACAGAAACGCCCACAACAACTGCCACATCTACCACTAGTGCGACGACAACTGAGGAAGGTTTGTGAACTTGATATGTAATGTGGTTTGCGTTTTTATCTAATGTTCTGGGTCCTAGCGTGTGCTATGGTTCAAGAAGTAGTTTTAATCCAGTCCCAGATTTGACTGCTATTAATCTCTCTCTCTCTCTCTCTCTGAGGAAAATACATTTGTGTCAGAATAAGCAAGGATCACCAACCATTAAATAAAAGTGCGTGTTTTTCTGCGGGTTAGCATCACTGAGTGAATATCATATAACTTATCAATGAATGGACCAGTCAAATCATCTTTCATCTGTACCCCACACTATCATGTATTGTACCTCTGATGGTGTATTCTAAATATATAGTAGTAAATAAATGATGTTGAAATGTGTCAATGGAGGTTTAATATGCCGGCATTATTATTATTATTATTATTATTATTATTATTATTATTATTATTATTATTATTTTAGGGGGGAGGGGTGATTCTGACTTGAGATATAACGGACATATAACAAATTCCAATAATAATTTTTTGCATTTATAATCTTCGAAAAGAAATAGAGGAATAACATTTTAACATTTTAGCAACGACGACAACGGTTCCTGAAACAACCACGACTTCAGCTCCTCAAACAAGTACTGCTGCAGCTACCACAACCACTTCGGAACCTGAAACAACCACTGCTTCAGCTACCACAACCACTTCGGAATCTGAAACAACCACTGCTGCGGCTACCACAACCACTTCAGAACCTGAAACAACCACTGCTGCAGCTACCACAACCACTTCGGAACCTGAAACGACTACTGCTGCAGCTACCACAACCACTTCAGAACCTGAAACAACCACTGCTGCAGCTACCACAACCACTTCAGAACCTGAAACAACCACTGCTGCAGCTACCACAACCACTTCAGAACCTGAAACAACCACTGCTGCAGCTACCACAACCACTTCGGAATCTGAAACAACCACTGCTGCGGCTACCACAACCACTTCAGAACCTGAAACAACCACTGCTGCAGCTACCACAACCACTTCAGAACCTGAAACAACCACTGCTGCAGCTACCACAACCACTTCAGAACCTGAAACAACCACTGCTGCAGCTACCGCAACCACTTCAGAACCTGAAACAACCACTGCTGCGGCTACCACAACCACTTCGGAACCTGAAACAACCACTGCTGCGGCTACCACAACCACTTCGGAACCTGAAACAACCACTGCTGCAGCTACCGCAACCACTTCAGAACCTGAAACAACCACTGCTGCAACTACCACAACCACTTCGGAACCTGAAACAACCACTGCTGCAGCTACCGCAACCACTTCAGAACCTGAAACAACCACTGCTGCGGCTACCACAACCACTTCAGAACCTGAAACGACTACCCCTTCAGCTACTACAACCACTTCAGAACCTGAAACAACCACTGCTGCGGCTACCACAACCACTTCAGAACCTGAAACAACCACTGCTGCGGCTACCACAACCACTTCAGAACCTGAAACAACCACTGCTGCAGCTACCACAACCACTTCAGAACCTGAAACAACCACTGCTGCAGCTACCACAACCACTTCAGAACCTGAAACAACCACTGCTGCAGCTACCACAACCACTTCAGAACCTGAAACAACCACTGCTTCAGCTACCACAACCACTTCAGAACCTGAAACAACCACTGCTTCAGCTACCACAACCACTTCAGAACCTGAAACAACCACTGCTTCAGCTACCACAACCACTTCAGAACCTGAAACAACCACTGCTTCAGCTACCACAACCACTTCGGAACCTGAAACAACCACTGCTTCAGCTACTACAACCACTTCAGAACCTGAAACAACCACTGCTTCAGCTACTACAACCACTACAGAACCTGAAACAACCACTGCTTCAGCTACTACAACCACTACAGAACCTGAAACAACCACTGCTTCAGCTACCACAACCACTTCAGAACCTGAAACAACCACTGCTTCAGCTACCACAACCACTTCAGAACCTGAAACAACTGCTGCAACTACCATAACCAGTTCGGAACCTGAAACAACCACTGCTGCAGCTACCACAACCACTTCAGAACCTGAAACAACCACTGCTTCAGCTACTACAACCACTTCGGAACCTGAATCATCCACTGCTTCAGCTACCACAACCACTTCAGAACCTGAAACAACTGCTGCAACTACCACAACCAGTTCGGAACCTGAAACAACCACTGCTGCAGCTACCACAACCACTTCAGAATCTGAAACAACCACTGCTGCAGCTACCACAACCACTTCAGAACCTGAAATAACTGCTTCAGCTACCACAACAACTTCAGAACCTGAAACAACCACTGCTTCAGCTACCACAACCACTTCAGAACCTGAAACAACCACTGCTCCAGCTACCACAACCACTTCAGAACCTGAAACAACCACTGCTTCAGCTACCACAACCACTTCAGAACCTGAAACAATCACAACTGCAGCTACCACAACCACTTCAGTACTTCAGTCAACGACTACTTCAGCAACTGCAACCACTTCAGAACCTGAAACAACCACTGCTTCAGCTACCACAACCACTTCAGAACCTGAAACAACCACTGCTGCAGATACCATAACCACTTCAGAACCTGAAACAACCACTGCTTCAGCTACCACAACCACTTCAGAACCTCAAACAACCACTGATTCAGCTACCACAACCACCTCAAATCCTCAATCAACCATTATTTCAGCTACCACAACCACTTCAGGACTTCAATCAACCACCACTTCAGAGCCTCAAACAACAACAGGTTTGTATCTATTAAGTAATGAATCTTTTTCTACTTTTCTTTTGTCATGTTAGTCCCTCAATGATTTATTATTATTATTATTATTATTATTAGGTTGGCTCCTTTCATATGATATTTCATTAAGATTATTCAATGGGGCGTTTCCTTTGCAGCAGCAAACATAAGCATGCACTTTTATTTACACTTTGCTCTCATCATTTAATATTACTATTTCATGTTAGTAGTATTAAAGGTTGAGGATTTGGCCTACCATTCATACTTACAGCTTATGTCATTAAGAATTCACTACCATAGATTGTTAACATGAAATACTGTACATTTGATCAAAATTAATACAATACAAATAGAAAACCATTACAGAACATAATTGCCAAAGGATAAATGAAATGAAATCTGGTGATAAGAACATCGTAGAGATAAAGTTGATAGAATCTAAATAAAAACAAGGAATCTTGTAATGCTTTTCCTTGTATATGTCAATGTGGTTGGTAGAGTGTTACATAAAGGAAGTGCCAGCTCTACTCAAACAACCACGTCAGACAACACTCGCCGTTCTGACTTCAGCCACCGTCTCCTGTCCTGTCTCACTAAAATGTATTGCAGCTACCACTACCATTTCACTCCCTGCTACAATCATCATTTCAGACATACCAACAAGCACTACACATACCACAACTGCCTCAGATACAACCACTACTCCAGCTACAAGTACGACCTCAGAATTACACGCAACTACTACTTCAGCTTCCACGACTTCCGTCCCTCAAATAAGTACTACTTCAGCTACAGCAACGACCTCAACTCCTATGACAACTACTCCTACAACTACAACTACAGGTACTACTTTAGGCACCACAACTCTAGTCCCTGAGATAACTACCACATCGTTTGAAAGAACGACTTCTGCTGCTCAGACAAGTCCAACTTCAGCTACCACTATCACATCAGAACCCGAAACAACTGCAATTTCAGTCACCACAACCACTTCAGAACCTATTACATCCACTACTTTAGCCACCACAACCATTTCAGAACCTGAAACAACCACTGTTTCAGCTACCACAACCGCTTCAGAACCTGAAACAACCACTGCTTCAGTTATCACAACCACTTCAGAACCTAATACGTCCACTACTTTAGCCACCACAACCATTTCAGAACCTGAAAGAACCACTGCTTCAGCTACCACAACCGCTTCAGAACCTGAAACAACCACTGCTTCAGTTACCACAACCACTTCAGAACCTAATACATCCACTACTTTAGCCACCACAACCATTTCAGAACCTGAAACAACCACTGCTTCAGCTACCACAACCGCTTCAGAACCTGAAACAACCACTGCTGCAGCTACCACAACCACTTCAGAACCTGAAACAACAACTGCTTCAGCTACCACAACCACTTCAGAACCTGAAACAACCACTGCTTCAGCTACCACAACCACTTCAGAACCTGAAACAACCACTGCTTCAGCTACCACAACCACTTCAGAACCTGAAACAACCACTGCTTCAGCTACCACAACCACTTCGGAACCTGAAACAACCACTGCTTCAGCTACCACAACCACTTCAGAACCTGAAACAACCACTGCTTCAGCTACCACAACCACTTCAGAACCTGAAACAACCACTGCTTCAGCTACCACAACCACTTCAGAACCTGAAACAACCACTGCTGCGGCTACCACAACCACTTCAGAACCTGAAACAACCACTGCTTCAGCTACCACAACCACTTCAGAACCTGAAACAACCACTGCTTCAGCTACCACAACCACTTCAGAACCTGAAACAACCACTGCTGCGGCTACCACAACCACTTCAGAACCTGAAACAACCACTGCTGCGGCTACCACAACCACTTCGGAACCTGAAACAACCACTGCTGCGGCTACCACAACCACTTCAGAACCTGAAACAACCACTGCTTCAGCTACCACAACCACTTCAGAACCTGAAACAACCACTGCCTTAGCTACTACAACCACTTCAGAACCTGAAACAACCACTGCTTCAGCTACCACAACAACTTTAGAACCTGAAACGACTACTGCTGCAGCTACTACCACGACTTCAGTTCCTCAGACAAGTACTGCTGCAGCTACCACAACCACTTCAGAACCTGAAACAACCACTGCTTCAGCTACTACCACGACTTCAGTTCCTCAGACAAGTACTGCTGCAGCTACCACAACCACTTCAGAACCTGAAACAACCACTGCATCAGCTACCACAACCACTTCAGAACCTGAAACAACCACTGCTGCGGCTACCACAACCGCTTCAGAACCTGAAACAATCACTGCTTCAGTTACCACAACCACTTCAGAACCTGAAACAACCACTGTTGCAGCTACCACAACCACTTCAGAAACTGAAACAACCACTGCTTCAGCTACCACAACCACTTCAGAACCTGAAACAACCACTGCTGCAGCTACCACAACCACTTCAGAACCTGAAACAACCACTGCTGCGGCTACCACACCCACTTCAGAAACTGAAACAATCACAACTGCAGCTACCACAACCACTTCAATACTTCAGTCAACGACTACTTCAGCAACCACAACCACTTCAGAACCTGAAACAACCACTGCTTCACCTACCACAACCACTTCAGAACCTCAAACAACCACTGCTGCAACTACCATAACCACTTCAGAACCTGAAACAACCACTGCTGCAGCTACCACAACCACTTCAGAACCTCAAACAACCACTGATTCAGCTATCACAACCACTTCAAAACCTCAATCAACCCTTATTTCAGCTACCACAACCACTTCAGGACTTCAATCAACCACCACTTCAGAGCCTCAAACAACAACAGGTTTGTATCTATTAAGTAATGAATCTTTTTCTACTTTTCTTTTATCATGTTAGTCCCTCAATGATTTATTATTATTATTATTATTATTATTATTATTATTATTATTAGGTTGGCTCCTTTCATATGATATTTAAATGTTTTCATTAAGATTATTCAATGGGGCGTTTCCTTTGCAGCAGCAAACATAAGCATGCACTTTTATTTACACTTTGCTCTCATCATTTAATATTACTATTTCATGTTAGTAGTATTAAAGGTTGAGGATTTGGCCTACCATTCATACTTACAGCTTATGTCATTAAGAATTCACTACCATAGATTGTTAACATGAAATACTGTACATTTGATCAAAATTAATACAATACAAATAGAAAACCATTACAGAACATAATTGCAAAGGATAAATGAAATGAAATCTGGTGATAAGAACATCGTAGAGATAAAGTTGATAGAATCTAAATAAAAACAAGGAATCTTGTAATGCTTTTCCTTGTATATGTCAATGTGGTTGGTAGAGTGTTACATAAAGGAAGTGCCAGCTCTACTCAAACAACCACGTCAGACAACACTCGCCGTTCTGACTTCAGCCACCGTCTCCTGTCCTGTCTCACTAAAATGTATTGCAGCTACCACTACCATTTCACTCCCTGCTACAATCATCATTTCAGACATACCAACAAGCACTACACATACCACAACTGCCTCAGATACAACCACTACTCCAGCTACAAGTACGACCTCAGCATTACAGGCAACTACTACTTCAGCTTCCACGACTTCCGTCCCTCAAATAAGTACTACTTCAGCTACAGCAACGACCTCAACTCCTATGACAACTACTCCTACAACTACAACTACAGGTACTACTTTAGGCACCACAACTCTAACCCCTGAGATAACTACCACATCAGTTGAAAGAACGACTTCTGCTGCTCAGACAAGTCCAACTTCAGCTACCACTATCACATCACAACCCGAAACAACTGCAATTTCAGTCACCACAACCACTTCAGAACCTAATACATCCACTACTTCAGCTACCACAACCATTTCAGAACCTGAAACAACTACTGCTTCAGCTACCACAACCACTTCAGAACCTGAAACAACCACTGCTGCAGCTACCACAACCACTTCAGAACCTGAAACAACAACTACTGCAGCCACCACAACCACTTCAGAACCTGAAACAACCACTGCTTCAGCTACCACAACCACTTCAGAACCTGAAACAACCACTGCTTCAGCTACCACAACCACTTCGGAACCTGAAACAACCACTGCTTCAGCTACCACAACCACTTCAGAACCTGAAACAACCACTGCTTCAGCTACCACAACCACTTCGGAACCTGAAACAACCACTGCTTCAGCTACCACAACCACTTCAGAACCTGAAACAACCACTGCTTCAGCTACCACAACCACTTCAGAACCTGAAACAACCACTGCTTCAGCTACCACAACCACTTCAGAACCTGAAACAACCACTGCTTCAGCTACCACAACCACTTCGGAACCTGAAACAACCACTGCTTCAGCTACCACAACCACTTCAGAACCTGAAACAACCACTGCTTCAGCTACCACAACCACTTCAGAACCTGAAACAACCACTGCTTCAGCTACCACAACCACTTCAGAACCTGAAACAACCACTGCTGCGGCTACCACAACCACTTCAGAACCTGAAACAACCACTGCTTCAGCTACCACAACCACTTCAGAACCTGAAACAACCACTGCTTCAGCTACCACAACCACTTCAGAACCTGAAACAACCACTGCTGCGGCTACCACAACCACTTCAGAACCTGAAACAACCACTGCTGCGGCTACCACAACCACTTCGGAACCTGAAACAACCACTGCTGCGGCTACCACAACCACTTCAGAACCTGAAACAACCACTGCTTCAGCTACCACAACCACTTCAGAACCTGAAACAACCACTGCTTTAGCTACTACAACCACTTCAGAACCTGAAACAACCACTGCTTCAGCTACCACAACCACTTTAGAACCTGAAACGACTACTGCTGCAGCTACTACCACGACTTCAGTTCCTCAGACAAGTACTGCTGCAGCTACCACAACCACTTCAGAACCTGAAACAACCACTGCTTCAACTACTACTACGACTTCAGTTCCTCAGACAAGTACTGCTGCAGCTACCACAACCACTTCAGAACCTGAAACAACAACTGCTGTAGCTACCACAACCACTTCAGAACCTGAAACAACCACTGCTGCGGCTACCACAACCGCTTCAGAACCTGAAACAATCACTGCTTCAGTTACCACAACCACTTCAGAACCTGAAACAACCACTGTTGCAGCTACCACAACCACTTCAGAAACTGAAACAACCACTGCTGCAACTACCACAACCACTTCAGAACCTGAAACGACTACTGCTTCAGTTACCACAACCACTTCAGAACCTGAAACAACCACTGCTGCGGCTACCACACCCACTTCAGAACCTGAAACAATCACAACTGCAGCTACCACAACCACTTCAATACTTCAGTCAACGACTACTTCTGCAACCACAACCACTTCAGAACCTGAAACAACCACTGCTTCACCTACCACAACCACTTCAGAACCTCAAACAACCACTGCTGCAACTACCACAACCACTTCAGAACCTGAAACAACCACTGCTGCAGCTACCACCACTTCAGAACCTCAAACAACCACTGATTCAGCTATCACAACCACTTCAAAACCTCAATCAACCATTATTTCAGCTACCACAACCACTTCAGGACTTCAATCAACCACCACTTCAGAGCCTCAAACAACAACAGGTTTGTATCTATTAAGTAATGAATCTTTTTCTACTTTTCTTTTATCATGTTAGTCCCTCAATGATTCATTATTATTATTATTATTATTATTAGGTTAGCTCCTTTCATATGATTAATGTTTCATTAAGATTATTCAATGGGGCGTTTCCTTTGCAGCAGCAAACATAAGCATGCACTTTTATTTACACTTTGCTCTCATCATTTAATATTACTATTTCATGTTAGTAGTATTAAAGGTTGAGGATTTGGCCTACCATTCATACTTACAGCTTATGTCATTAAGAATTCACTACCATAGATTGTTAACATGAAATACTGTACATTTGATCAAAATTAATACAATACAAATAGAAAACTATTACAGAACATAATTGCAAAGGATAAATGAAATAAAATCTGGTGATAAGAACATCGTAGAGATAAAGTTGATAGAATCTAAATAAAAACAAGGAATCTTGTAATGCTTTTCCTTGTATATGTCAATGTGGTTGGTAGAGTGTTACATAAAGGAAGTGCCAGCTCTACTCAAACAACCACGTCAGACAACACTCGCCGTTCTGACTTCAGCCACCGTCTCCTGTCCTGTCTCACTAAAATGTATTGCAGCTACCACTACCATTTCACTCCCTGCTACAATCATCATTCCAGACATACCAACAAGCACTACACATACCACAACTGCCTCAGATACAACCACTACTCCAGCTACAAGTACGACCTCAGCATTACAGGCAACTACTACTTCAGCTTCCACGACTTCCGTCCCTCAAATAAGTACTACTTCAGCTACAGCAACGACCTCAACTCCTATGACAACTACTACAACTACAACTACAGGTACTACTTTAGGCACCACAACTCTAACCCCTGAGATAACTACCACATCAGTTGAAAGAACGACTTCTGCTGCTCAGACAAGTCCAACTTCAGCTACCACTATCACATCACAACCCGAAACAACTGCAATTTCAGTCACCACAACCACTTCAGAACCTAATACATCCACTACTTTAGCCACCACAACCATTTCAGAACCTGAAACAACCACTGTTTCAGCTACCACAACCGCTTCAGAACCTGAAACAACCACTGCTTCAGTTACCACAACCACTTCAGAACCTAATACATCCACTACTTTAGCCACCACAACCATGTCAGAACCTGAAACAACCACTGCTTCAGCTACCACAACCGCTTCAGAACCTGAAATAACCACTGCTTCAGTTACCACAACCACTTCAGAACCTAATACATCCACTACTTTAGCCACCACAACCATTTCAGAACCTGAAACAACCACTGCTTCAGCTACCACAACCACTTCAGAACTTGAAACAATCACTTATTCAACTACTACAATCACTACTTCGGCAACCACATCCACTTCAGAATCTCAAACAACCGCTACTTCAGCAACCACAACCACTTCAGAACCTGAAACAACCACTCCTTCAGCAACCACAACCACTTCAGAATCTCAAACAACCGCTACTTCAGCAACCACAACCACTTCAGAATCTCAAACTACCATTACTACTGAAACAACCACTGCTTCAGAATCTGAAACAACCACTACTTCAGCTACCACAACCACTTCAGAACCTGAAACAACCACTTCTGCAGCTACTACAACCACTTCAGAACCTGAAACAACCACTGCTTCAGCTACTACAACCACTTCAGAACCTGAAACAACCACTGCTTCAGCTACCACAACCACTTCAGAACCTGAAACAACCACTGCTGCAATTACTACCATGACTTCAGAACCTGAAACAACCACTGCTTCAGCTACCCCAACCACTTCAGAACCTGAAACAACCACTCCTTCAGCAACCACAACCACTTTAGAACCTGAAACAACCACTGCTTCAGCAACCACAACCACTTCAGAACCTGAAACAACCACTGCTTCAGCTACTACAACCACTTCAGAACCTGAAACAACCACTGCTTCAGCTACTACAACCACTACAGAACCTGAAACAACCACTGCTTCAGCTACCACAACCACTTCAGAACCTGAAACAACCACTATTGCAACTACCACAACCACTTCGGAACCTGAAACAACCACTGCTTCAGCTACTACAACCACTTCAGAACCTCAAACAACCACTGCTTCAGCTACTACAACCACTTCAGAACCTGAAACAACCACTGCTTCAGCTACCACAACTACATCAGAAACTGAAACAACCACTGCTTCAGCTACTACAACCACTTCAGAACCTGAAATAACTGCTTCAGCTACCACAACCACTTCAGAACTTGAAGCAACCACAGCTTCAGCTACTACAACCACTTCAGAACCTGAAACAAACACTGCTGCAGTTACTACCATGACTTCAGAACCTGAAACAACCACTGTTTCAGCTACCCCAACCACTTCAGAACCTGAAACAACCACTCCTTCAGCAACCACAACCACTTCAGAATCTGAAACAACCGCTACTTCAGCTACCATTACCACTTTAGAACCTGAAACAACCACTTCAGAACCTGAAACCATTCCTTCAGCTACTACAACCACTTCAGAACCTGAAACAACCACTGCTTCAGCTACCACAACCACTTCAGAACCTGAAACAACCACTGCTTCAGCTACCACAACCACTTCAGAACCTGAAACAACCACTGCCTCAGCTACTACCTCTTCAGAACCTGAAACAACCAATGCTTCAGCTACCACAACCACTTCAGAACCTGAAACAACCACTGCTTCAGCTACCACAACCACTTCAGAACCTGAAACAACCACTGCTTCAGCTACCACAACCACTTCAGAACCTGAAACAACCACTGCCTCAGCTACTACCTCTTCAGAACCTGAAACAACCACTGCTTCAGCTATCACAACCACTTCAGAACCTGAAACAACCACTGCTTCAGCTATCACAACCACTTCAGAACCTGAAACAACCACAGCTTCAGCTACCACAACCAGTTCGGAACCTGAAACAACTGCTGCAGCTACCACAACCACTTCAGAACCTGAAACAACCACAGCTTCAGCTACTACAACCACTTCAGAACCTGAAACAACCACTGCTTCACCTACCACAACCACTTCAGAACCTGAAACAACCACTTCAGCTACCACAACCACTTCAGAACCTGAAACAACCACTGCTTCAGCTACTACAACCACTTCAGAACCTGAATCAACCACTGCTACAGTTACTACCATGACTTCAGAACCTGAAACAACCACTGCTTCAGCTATCACAACCACTTCAGAATCTGAAACAAACACTGCTTCAGCTACCACAACCACTTCAGAACCTGAAACAACCACTGCTTCAGCTACTACAACCACTTCAGAACCTGAATCAACCACTGCTGCAGTTACTACCATGACTTCAGAACCTGAAAAAAACACTGCTTCAGCTACCACAACCACTTCAGAACCTGAAACAACTACTGCTTCAGCTACTACAACCACTTCAGAACCTGAATCAACCACTGCTGCAGTTACTACCATGACTTCAGAACTTGAAACAACCACTGCTTCAGCTACCACAACCACTTCAGAACCTGAAACAATCACTGCTTCAGCTACCACAACCACTTCAGAACCTGAAACAATCACTGCTTCAGCTACCACAAACACTTTAGAACCTAAAACAACCACTGTTTCAGCAACCACAACCACTTCAGAACCTGAAACAACCACTGCTTCAGCTACTACAACCACTTCAGAACCTGAAACAACCACTGCCTCAGCTACCACAGCCATATCAGAACCTGAAACAACCACTGCTTCAGCTACTACAACCACTTCAGAACCTGAAACAACCACTGCTTCAGCTATCACAACCACTTCAGAACCTGAAACAACCACTGCTTCAGCTATCACAACCACTTCAGAACCTGAAACAACCACAGCTTCAGCTACTACAATCACTTCAGAACCTGAAACAACCACTGCTTCAGCTACCACAACCACTTCAGAACCTGAAACAACCACTGCTTCAGCTACTACAACCACTTCAGAACCTGAATCAACCACTGCTGCAGTTACTACCATGACTTCAGAACCTGAAACAACCACTGCTTCAGCTATCACAACCACTTCAGAACCTGAAACAACCACTGCTTCAGCTACCACAACCACTTCAGAACCTGAAACAATCACTGCTTCAGCTACTACAACCACTTCAGAACCTGAATCAACCACTACTGCAGTTACTACCATGACTTCAGAACCTGAAACAACCACTGCTTCAGCTACCACAACCACTTCAGAACCTGAAACAACCACTGCTTCAGCTACTACAACCACTTCAGAACCTGAATCAACCACTGCTGCAGTTACGACCATGACTTCAGAACTTGAAACAACCACTGCTTCAGCTACCACAACCACTTCAGAACCTGAAACAATCACTGCTTCAGCTACCACAACCACTTCAGAACCTGAAACAACCACTGCCTCAGCTACCACAACCACATCAGAACCTGAAACAACCACTGCTTCAGCTACTACAACCACTTCAGAACCTGAAACAACCACTGCTTCAGCTACCACAACCAGTTCGGAACCTGAAACAACTGCTGCAGCTACTACAACCACTTCAGAACCTGAAACAACCACAGCTTCAGCTACCACAACCACTTTAGAACCTGAAACAACCGCAGCTTCAGCTACCACAACCAGTTCGGAACCTGAAACAACTGCTGCAGCTACCACAACCACTTCAGAACCTGAAATAACCACAGCTTCAGCTACCACAACAACTTTAGAACCTGAAACAACCACAGCTTCAGCTACTACAACCACTTCAGAACCTGAAACAACCACTGCTTCACCTACCACAACCACTTCAGAACCTGAAACAACCACTTCAGCTACCACAACCACTTTAGAACCTGAAACAACCACTGCTTCAGTTACTACAACCACTTCAGAACCTGAATCAACCACTGCTGCAGTTACTACCATGACTTCAGAAGCTGAAACAACCACTGCTTCAGCTATCACAACCACTTCAGAACCTGAAACAACCACTGCTTCAGCTACCACAACCACTTCAGAACCTGAAACAATCACTGCTTCAGCTACCACAACCACTTCAGAACCTGAAACAACCACTCCTTCAGCAACCACAACCACTTCAGAATCTCAAACAACTGCTACTTCAGCTACCACACCCACTTTAGAACCTAAAACAACCACTGTTTCAGCAACCACAACCACTTCAGAACCTGAAACAACCACTGCTTCAGCTACTACAACCACTTCAGAACCTGAAACAACCACTGCCTCAGCTACCACAACCACATCAGAACCTGAAACAACCACTGCTTCAGCTACTACAACCACTTCAGAACCTGAAGCAACCACTGCTTCAGCTACCACAACCACTTCAGAACCTAAAACAACCACTGCTTCAGCTACCACAACCACTTCAGAACTTGAAACAACCACTGCTTCAGCTACTACAACCACTTCAGAACCTGAAACGACTACTGCTTCAGCTACTACATCTTCAGAACCTGAAACAACCACTGCTTCAACTACCCCAACCACTTCAGAACCTGAAACAACCACTGCTTCAGCTACTACATCTTCAGAACCTGAAACAACCACTGCTTCAACTACCCCAACCACTTCAGAACCTGAAACAACCACTGCTTCAGCAACCACAACCACTTCAGAATCTCGAACAACCGCTACTTCTGCTACCACAACCACTTTAGAACCTGAAACAACCATTGGTTTAGCAACCACAACCACTTCAGAACCTCAAACAACCACTGCTTCAGCAACCACAACCACTTCAAAACCTGAAACAACCACTGCTTCAGCTACCACAATCACTTCAGAAACTGAAACAACCACAGCTTCAGCTACCACAACCACTTCAGAACCTGAAACAGCCACTGCTTCAGCTACCACAACCACTTCAGAACCTGAAACAACCACTGCTTCAGCTACTACAACCACTTCAGAACCTGAATCAACCACTGCTGCAGTTACTACCATGACTTCAGAACCTGAAACAACCACTGCTTCAGCTACCACAACCACTTCAGAACCTGAAACAACCACTGCTTCAGCTACTACAACCACTTCAGAACCTGAATCAACCACTACTGCAGTTACTACCATGACTTCAGAACTTGAAACAACCACTGCTTCAGCTACCAGAACCACTTCAGAACCTGAAACAATCACTGCTTCAGCAACCACAACCACTTCAGAATCTCAAACAACTGCTACTTCAGCTACCACACCCACTTTAGAACCTAAAACAACCACTGTTTCAGCAACCACAACCACTTCAGAACCTGAAACAACCACTGCTTCAGCTACTACAACCACTTCAGAACCTGAAACAACCACTGCCTCAGCTACCACAACCACATCAGAACCTGAAACAACCACTGCTTCAGCTACTACAACCACTTCAGAACCTGAAACAACCACTGCTTCAGCTACCACAACCACTTCAGAACCTAAAACAACCACTGCTTCAGCTACCACAACCACTTTAGAACCTGAAACAACCATTGGTTTAGCAACCACAACCACTTCAGAACCTGAAACAACCACTGCTTCAGCAACCACAACCACTTCAAAACCTGAAACAACCACTGCTTCAGCTACCACAATCACTTCAGAAACTGAAACAACCACAGCTTCAGCTACCACAACCACTTCAGAACCTGAAACAACCACTGCTTCAGCTACCACAACCACTTCAGAACCTGAAACAACCACTGTTTCAGCTACTACAATCACTTCAGAACCTGAAACAACCACAGCTTCAGCTACCACAACCACTTCAGAACCTGAAACAACCACTGCTTCAGCTACTACAACCACTTCAGAACCTGAAACAACCACAGCTTCAGCTACCACAACCACTTCAGAACCTGAAACAACCACTGCTTCAGCTACCACAACCACTTCAGAACCTGAAACAACCACTGCTTCAGCTACCACAATCACTTCAGAAACTGAAACAACTGCTGCAGCTACTAGAACCACTTCAGAACCTCAAACAACCACTGCATCAGCTACCACAACCACTTCAGAAACTGAAAGAACTACTGCAGCTGCTACCACTTCAGAACCTGAAACAACCACTGCTTCAGCTACCACAACCACTTCAGAAACTGAAACGACTACTGTTGTAGCTACCACAACCACTTCAGAACCTGAAACGACCACTGCTGCAGCTACCACAACCACTTCAGAACCTGAAACAACCACTGCTGCAGCTACCACTTTAGAACCTGAAACAACCACTGCTGTAGCTACCACAATCACTTCAGAACCTGAAGCAAGCACTGCTGTAGCTACCACAATCACTTCAGAACCTGAAACAACCACTCCTGTAGCTACCACAATCACTTCAGAACTTGAAATAACCACTGCTTCAATTACTACAACCTCTTCAGAACCTGAAACAACCGCTGCGGCTACCACAACTACTTCAGAACCTGAAACGACAACTGCTTCAGCTACCACAACTACTTCAGAACCTGAAACAACCACTGCTTCTGCTACTACAACCACTTCACAACCTGAAACAACCACTGCTGTAGCTACCACAATCACTTCAGAACCTGAAATAACCACTGCTTCAACTACTACAACCTCTTCAGAACCTGAAATAAGTACTGCTTCAAGTACTACAACCACTTCAGAACCTGAAACAACCACTGCTTCAGCTACCACAACCACTTCAGAACCTGAAACAACCACTTCTTCAGGTACCACAACCACTTCGGAACCTGAAACAACCACTGCTTCAGCTACCACAACCACTTCAGAATCTCAATCAACCGCTACTTCAGCTACCACAACCACTTCAGAACCTGAAACAACCACTGCTTCAGCTACTACAATCACTTCAGAACCTGAAACAACCACAGCTTCAGCTACCACAACCACTTCAGAACCTGAAACAACCACTGCTTCAGCTACCACAACCACTTCAGAACCTGAAACAACCACTGCTTCAGCGACCACAACCACTTCAGAACCTGAAACAACCACTGCTTCAGCTACTACAATCACTTCAGAACCTGAAACAACCACAGCTTCAGCTACCACAACCACTTCAGAACCTGAAACAACCACTGCTTCAGCGACCACAACCACTTCAGAACCTGAAACAACCACTGCTTCAGCTACTACAATCACTTCAGAACCTGAAACAACCACAGCTTCAGCTACCACAACCACTTCAGAACCTGAAACAACCACTGCTTCAGCGACCACAACCACTTCAGAACCTGAAACAACCACTGCTTCAGCGACCACAACCACTTCAGAACCTGAAACAACCACTGCTTCAGCTACTACAACCACTTCAGAACCTGAAACAACCACAGCTTCAGCTACCACAACCACTTCAGAACCTGAAACAACCACAGCTTCAGCTACCACAACCACTTCAGAACCTGAAACAACCACTGCTTCAGCTACCACAACTATTTCAGAACCTGAAACAACCACTGCATCAGCTACCACAATCACTTCAGAAACTGAAACAACTGCTGCAGCTACTAGAACCACTTCAGAACCTCAAACAACCACTGCATCAGCTACCACAACCACTTCAGAAACTGAAAGAACTACTGCAGCTGCTACAACCACTTCAGAACCTGAAACAACCACTGCTTCAGCTACCACAACCACTTCAGAACCTGAAACAACCACTGCTTCAGCAACCACAACCACTTCAGAACCTGAAACGACCACTGCTGCAGCTACCACAACCACTTCAGAACCTGAAACAACCACTGCTGCAGCTACCACAACCACTTTAGAACCTGAAACAACCACTGCTGTAGCTACCACAATCACTTCAGAACCTGAAGCAAGCACTGCTGTAGCTACCACAATCACTTCAGAACCTGAAACAACCACTCCTGTAGCTACCACAATCACTTCAGAACCTGAAATAACCACTGCTTCAATTACTACAACCTCTTCAGAACCTGAAACAACCACTGCTTCAGCTATCACAACGACTTCAGAACCTGAAACAACCACTGCTTCAGCAACCACAACCACTTCAGAACCTGAAACAACCACTTCTTCAGCTACTACAACCACTTCAGAACCTGAAACAACCTCTGCTTCAGCTACCACAACCACTTCAGAACCTGAAACGACCACTGCTTCAGCTACCACAACCACTTCACAACCTGAAACAACCACTTCTTCAACTACCACAACCACTTCAGAACTTGAAGCAACCACTGCTTCAGCTACTACAACCTCTTCAGAACAAGAAACAACCACTGCTGCAGCTACCACAACCACTTCTGCAGCTACCACAACCACTTCAGAACCTGAAACAACCACTGCTGCGGCTACCACATCTACTTCGGAACCTGAAACAACCACTGTTTCAGCTACCACAACCACTTCAGAACCTGAAACAATCACTACTTCAGCAACTACCACGACTTCAACTCCTCTGACAAGTACTGCTGCGGCTACCACAACCACTTCAGAAGCTGAAACAACCACTGCTTCAGCTACTACAACCACTTCAGAACCTGAAACAACCACTGCTTCGGCTACCACAACCACTTCAGAACCTCAAACAATCACTGCTTCAGCTACTACAACCACTTCAGAACTTGAAACCACTGCTTCAGCTACTACAACTGCTTCAGAACCTGAAACAACTGCTTCAGCTACCACAACCACTTCAGAACCTGAAACAACCACTTCAGAACCTGAAACAACCACTGCTTCAGCAACCACAGCCACTTCAGAACCTGAAACAACCACTGCTTCAGCAACCACAACCACTTCAGAACCTGAAACATCCACTACTTCAGCTACCACAGCCACTTCAGAACCTGAAACAACCACTCCTTCAGCAACCACAACCACTTCAGAACCTGAAACAACCCCTCACTCAGCTACCACAACCACTTCAGAACCTGAAACAACCACTACTTCAGTTACCACAACCACTTTAGAACCTCGAACGACTACACTCGAAACTAGCGCTCCTCACTCAAGTACCACTTTAGATATCACCACTCCAGAATCTCTACCAACCACTAATTTAGCTACCACTAGCACTTCAGAATCTCAAACAACCACTACTTCAGGTACTATCACGACTTCAGCTCCTCAGACAAGTACTACCTCTCCTTACACAACCACTTCAGAACTTCAAACAACAACAGGTTTGTTCACTTTTTTATCATCATTACAAATTGGATACGTCATGTTAGTGCCCCTCTGCTTTTCTTTGTGTCCTTGGAATTTCAAGAATGTGGCGTTTCCTTCGCAGCTACAAACATATTTATGCCCCTGTGTTTACAACGATCTCTCATAATTTAATGTTACCCAAATGGTATTAAAGTTGGGGATTTGGCCAACCATACATTCCAAAGTCTGTGTCATTAAAAAGCCTTTACCATAGGGTATTAACATAGTTTATGCAGTTGATCAAAATTAATACAGTAGAAAGTCATTGCATCGTATTACCTTAAGAACTGCAACTGATGAACAACATGCAAGAACATGAATAAGCACATTGCATTAAGTATTTAGGAAAAAAAATGTCTAGTAATTCGACCCTTTTCATATCTATTTGTCCTTGGTAGTGTTATGAAAAGGAAGTACCAGCTCTACTGTCGTCAGACAACAGTAGTTCTGACTTCAGCCACCGTCTCATGTCTAATCTCACAAAAATGTATTACAGCCACTTCACTCCCAGCTACAATTATCATTTCAGTTACTTCAACAACGCCAGTCACACCAACCAACACTACACATATTACAACTACCCCAGCTACAAGCACCTCAGCCTTACAGGCAACTACTACTTCAGCTTCGACGACTTCCGTCCCTCAGATTTCAACAACATCCTCACCTCCTGTGACAATTACTCCTACAGGTACTACTTTAGGATCCACAACTGCAGCACCAGAGATAACAACTACTTCACTTGCCACAAAGACTTCAGCTCCTCAGACAAGTACCACTTCAGTTACAACCACTTCGATACCTCAAGCAACTAGTACTTCAGCTACTACCACGACCTCAGCTCCTCAGACAAGTACAACTTCAGCTGCCATAACCACTTCAGAACCTCAAACAACCACTGCTTCAGCTAAAACAACCACTCCAGAACTTCAGTCAACCACTACTTCTGCTACCACAACCATCACAGAACCTGAAACAACAACTACTTCAACAACCACAACCACTTCAGAACCTGAAACAATTACTACTTCAGCAACCACAACCACTTCAGAACCTGAAATATCTACTACTTCAGTTACTACCACGACTTCATCTCCTCGGACAACAACTGCTTCAGCTACCACAACCACTTCAGAACCTGAAACACCCACAACTTCAGCAACCACAACTTCAGAACCTGTAACATCCACAACTTCAGCTACCACAACCACTTCAGAACCTGAAACAACCACTGCTGCAGTTACCACAACCACTTCAGAACCTGAAGCAACCACTGCTGCAATTACCACAACCACTTCAGAACCTGAAACAACCACTGCTTCAGCTACCACAACCACTTCAGAACCTGAAACAACTACTACTTCAGCAACCGCAACAACTTCAGAACCAGAAACAAGCGCTACTTCAGCTACCACAACCCCTTCGGAACCTAAAACAACCATTGCCTCAGCTACCACAACCACTTCAGAACCTCAAACAACCACTACTTTAGCTAGCACAACCACTTCGGAACCTGAAACAACTACTACTCCAGCTAGCACAACCACTTCAGAACCTGAAGCAACTACTACTTCAGGTATTACAACCACTGAAACAACCACTGCTGCAACTACCACAACCACTTCAGAACCTGAAACAACTACTACTAAAGTTACCACAATCACTTCAGAACCTGAAACAACCACTGCTTCGGCTACCATAACCACTTCGGAACCTGAAACAACCACTGCTTCAGCTACCACAACCACTTCAGAACCTGAAGGAACTACTACTTCAGGTACCACAACCATTTCAGAACCTGAAACAACAACTATATCAGGTACCACAACCACTTCAGAACCTCAATCAACTACTACTTCAGGTACTACAACCACTTCAGAACCTGAAACAACCACTGCTTCAGCTACCGCAACCACTTCAGAACTTGAAACTACTTCAGCTACCACAACCACTTCAGAACCTGAAGCAACTACTACTTCAGCTACCACAACCACTTCAGAACCTGAAACAACCACTGCTGTAACTACCACAACCACTTCAGAACCTGAAACAACCACTGCTTCAGCTACCACAACCACTTCAGAACCTGAAACAACCACTGCTGCAACTACCACAACCACTTCGGAACCTGAAACTACTACTTCAGCGACCACAACCACTTCAGAACCTGAAACAACCACTGCTGCAACTACCACAACCACTTCGGAACCTGAAACAACTACTACTTCAGAACCTGAAGCAATTACTACTTCAGCTACCACAACCACTTCAGAACCTGAAACAACCACTGTTTCAGCAACCACAACCACTTCAGAACCTGAAACAACCACTGCTTCAGCAACCACAACCACTTCAGAACCTGAAACAACCACTGCTTCAGCTACCACAACCACTTCAGAACCTGAAACAACCACTGCTTCGGCTACCACAACCACTTCAGAACCTGAAACAACCACTGCTGTAACTACCACAACCACTTCAGAACCTGAAACAACCACTGCTGCAGCTACCACAACCACTTCAGAACCTGAAACAACCACTGCCTCAGCTACCACAACCACTTCAGAATCTGAAACATCCACTGCTTCAGCTATCACAACCACTTCAGAACCTGAAACAACCACTGCTGCAACTACCACAACCACTTCGGAACCTGAAACAACTACTACTTCAGAACCTGAAGCAATTACTACTTCAGCTACCACAACCACTTCAGAACCTGAAACAACCACTGCTTCAGCTATCACAACCACTTCAGAACCTGAAACAACCACTGCTGCAACTACCACAACCACTTCGGAACCTGAAACAACTACTACTTCAGAACCTGAAGCAATTACTACTTCAGCTACCACAACCACTTCAGAACCTGGAACTACTACTTCAGCTACCACGACCACTTCAGAACCTGAACCTACCACTGCTGCAACTACCACAACATCTTCAGAACCTGAAATAACCACTGCTTCAGCTACTACAACCTCTTCAGAACCTGAAACAATCACTGCTTCAGCTACCGCAACCACTTCAGAACCTGAAACCACTACTACTTCAGCTACCACAACCACTTCAGAACCTGAAGCAACCACTGCTTCAGCTACCACAACCACTTCAAAACCTGAAACAACCACTGCTTCAGCTACCATAACTACTTCAGAACCTGAAACAACTACTACCTTGGTCACCACAACCATTTCAGAACCTGAAACAACTACTACTTCAGCTACTACCACGACTTCAGCTCCTCAGACAAGTTCTGCTGCAGCTACCACAACCACGTCAGAACCTCAATCAACTACTACTACAGCTACCACAACCACTTCAGAACCTGAAACAACCACTGTCTCAGGTACCACGACCACTTCAGAACCTGAAAGAACCAATGCTGCAACTACCAGAACCACTTCAGAACTTGAAACAACTACTACTTCAGGGACCACAACCACTTTAGAACCTGAAACAACCACTGCTGCAACTACCACAATCACTTCGGAACCTGAAACAACTACTACTTCAGAACCTGAAACAACCACTGCTTCAGCTACTACAACCACTTCAGAACCTGGAACTACTACTTCAGCTACCACAACCACTTCAGAACCTGAAACAACCACTGCTTCAGCTATCACAACCACTTCAGAACCTGAAACAACCACTGCTTCAGCTACCGCAACCACTTCAGAACCTGAAACCACTACTACTTCAGCTACCACAATCACTTCAGAACCTGAAGCAACTACTACTTCAGCAACCACAACCACTTTAGAACCTGAAATAACTATTTCCGCTACTACCACGACTTCAGCTCCTCAGACAACCACTGTTGCGGCTACCACAACCACTTCAGAACCTCAAACAACTACCACTTCAGTTACCACAACTACTTCAAAACCTGAAGTAACCACTGCTTCAGCTACCACAACCACTTCAAAACCTGAAACAATCACTGCTTCAGCTACCACAACTACTTCAGAACCTGAAACAACTACTACCTTGGTCACCACAACCACTTCAGAACCTGAAATAACTACTACTTTAGCTACCACAACCATTTCAGAACCTGAAGCAACTACTACTTCAGCTACTACCACGACTTCAGCTCCTCAGACAAGTTCTGCTGCAGCTACCACAACCACGTCAGAACCTCAATCAACTACTACTACAGCTACCACAATCACTTCAGAACCTGAAACAACTACTGCCTCAGGTACCACAACCACTTCAGAACCTCAATCAACCACTACTTCAGTTACCACAACCACTACTGTTTCAGCAACTACCACGACTTCATGTGCAATAAGCAGCCCTTTTCCCTTACAATGCACATTGTATACTGAAATATTGTAACTTTTACTACTTTTTGTGTGACAACTAAAAGCCCTACTTTCCAAAGTGTTGAACAACCCTAGCCTCGCTAACAACCGTTACTTCAGCAACCACCACAACTTTTTTCCTATCAACTATTCCTTTCAGCTACGACTTCAGCCCCACCAACAAGCACTACTTCAGCTCCCACATCCACTTCTCCAGGTGCCACAACGACTGCAGTCTCTCAAACAAGTACTCCATTATCGACACCAATTACAGGTTCGTTTATATGTGATGTACGCTATTATTCACGTATAATTTAGGATTATGGTTCTGTTGGTAGCTTCTTTTGCAGCTAGATACCACTCTGATCCCCTATAACTACACTGTACTCTCCTCATTTAATGCTATTCAAATAGTATTAAATGTTGAGATACCTGGCCTACCAATACAGTAAAACTACTAACAGCTACAATTGATACTCCACTTCAGGTATTACATCAACACCGCATTCGAATTATCAGGAGTTGACATTATTTTCTTGGTGTTATTTTCATGATGGTTAATTTCTTCATAAAGAAGATTAAGGTTCTTTTCTTCATTAGGTTTCCTTCCTTGATTTGGGCCATATGAATGTTTTCTTTCGCTAGATTCACGTCACTGATATCATAGAAAAATTCAGCAACATAGCTACACTGTGTTCTCGTCATTTACTGTTGAAATACTAATAACTGATGAAGCACTTAGTCTATCACCATGAGCAGCTACTATATATACTAATAATCCAGCCCTCCCAAAAAGTGCCATTTCAGTTATTGTCACATCAGTAGCACCTACTTCAGCTACCAGAATGACTTCAGTCTCACTAACAGGCCCTGATTCAGCTACACTGCAACTACAATTCCAGGAACAGTTTTTTTTTTTTCAGCATCTACTATAACTTCAGTCCGGCAAGTACAACCTTAGCTATCATGACAAAAAAATATATACATGCATTCAAACAAGTACTATTTCAGCTAACACAACCATCTCAAGGGTTACTTCGGCCAAAACCACGCCATCACTACCACAGGCAAGTACTACATCGACCACCAAAATCACCTCACCTCCCCAGACAGTTACTACGTCATCCACAACTTTGACTCCTGTATCAAAGACAAGTGCTACCACAACGACTTTAGCTCCTGAGACGAGTACTATTTCAGATGCCACGACGACTCCAGAACTTCAGACAAGTAGTACTGCAGCAACCACAACAACTACATCAGGTATCCCAACGACACTATAATCACCAACATGTACTACTTCAGCCATTATGACGACTCCAAATGACTTCAGCTACCACAACCACAGCTACTTCACAGACAAGTACTTCATCTATCACGAGACTTCAGCTCCGAAAACCAGTCCTATATACACTTTCACAACTAAAATGAATTGACATATTTTTTTAAGCACACACATGCACACTACTTATATTTATGATTTGTGATTTTAGTTTCATCTCTGCCTGTGAACTTATGTATATCTGGACACATTTATACAAACATTTTTTGTATACATCTACATATAACTTAATTATTTAATTTCGGTTTCCTTGTTATTCATATTGGTACAGCGTGTATATTCGGAGAAGAGTCATACAACGAAGGAGAAACTGTGCCTCTCCTATGTTATCACATAATCTGCACGTCTGGTATATGGGTACATACTGGTATGGTAAACAATAGATGTAAGTATCATAGATTTCACTTCATTTGTATATAGATGGGAGGTGGGCTTTGCAAGTCCTCTCTAAAGATAAACCATATTGGCACTGCAACCTATGAATGGTAATGGTAGGGGTAGGGGTACTGCGCCTCTTACCCAGCAAGGTGGGTTATTGGACCCACTGGAAAGGCAACTGCTGGAGCATAGGATGAGAAGGGATGTTACTCTTCCCACCTGCATCTTGGTAGCTGTCAACCCTGTGTGAGGCCTGTAAGAAAAAGCCAAAGGAAACCCCACAAGAGGATGTTGGGCCCCAAAGCCTGCCGTCCACCTTTATATGGGGGAAATGTTAGGAGGGATGGCAGGGGGTGGCATCCACCTGTCCAAGCTCCTGTCTAGACAGAGCTTGGAACATTCGTTCTTTATAGTAGGATGAATAATTATTCCTAATATCGAGGAAACTGAAGTAGTTGACAGGGTAAGACCTGGCAACGGCACGATCAGTATGGGCGGGTACAACTGCTACAGGTTGGGCTGGAACCAAGGTCATCATCTCCAGGAGGCTAGCTATAGCCATCTCCAGCCAACTCCAACCTTTGGTAGTGGAGGTTACTCCACAACCAAAGCATATTATGTCTTTGAGACTGAAGCATGCTTTTGACTTAGTGTCTCTTATTGCTGTATACACATATATCGATGTTTGCAAATTCCATATGAAGGAAATTATGCCAAACTCACATCTCTGGCAGACAGCTGTCCCTGGCGAGACATTCGCATTGAACTGAGAGACCTGGTTGTGATCGAGCTGGCTATGAGATGCCTGATGGTCCCCTTAGCGCATGAGCAAGAATAACTTCCTTCACAAGGACTTTGCAGAGATTCAGAATTTCTGTCTTCTGGTATCAATGCTCTAGCCTGTATTGCTGGACATGGTATAATGATACAGGTAATGTGTCCAACAAGATCAATTACATCCTTTTTAACACAATGGAAGTTCTTACAAAACTGCAGACTTTATCATAGTGGATGGACAGATCATTTCTGAGCATGTTGAGGTTAATGAACATTGGACTGAATATTTTGAGCAACAATATCAGATAGACCCTCCAGCAGTAAGTTTGGACGAAAGTGGGGTCGCAATTCCAAGATTCACCCAACAGCAAAGAAACATCTACCCTGACTGAGTTTAAGGAGAAGTCCGATATGCGAAGCTCAGCCTCGCCCGGACTATGCCCATGAGGGGAGCCCGGCCTGTGTCTACTAATGACGACTCGCTAACGTGTGTCAGCTGCTGCTGACTCGGCTGAGCTTAGTCCTTACCCGCCGTGGTGCCAAGCCAGACGACAATTGCAACTTCTCGCGCCTGGGCGGGGCGCGAACCGCCGGCCTCTCGAATGAGAGGCCGACACGTTACCACTGTACTAGCCCGGAGGCTGACTGAGGTTAGAGAGGCGATCCCTAAACTGAAGCATGTGAAAGCTGCAGGTATATGCAGTATCTCTACTGAACTGCTAAAGGCTAGTGGTGAACCAATGGCATGGGACCTGCATGCTGTCCTAGCTTACATTTGGCAGTCTGGTACTATTCCCCCGGACCTGCCAAGGGTCATGGACTTCCTTCTCTGGAAGGGAAAATGGAATCAGTGAGACTACAGTAACTGCTGTGGCATCACACTGCTCAGCACGCCAGTCAAGCTTTTTGCTCAGTCTTCTGAGATGGATCCATGGCTATCTACTAGGGCACCCGAGACTGGAGCAGTCTAGATTCACTCCTAGCAAGTCCACAATAGACTGCATCTTAGTTATAATGGAACACCGTCGTGAGTTTGGCCGTGGGCTGCTTGCAGCCTACGTCAACATACAAGGCCTTTGACTCGATGCAGTGCGAATCACTATGGAAGATTCTGAGACCTAGAAAGTCGTGGCTTCACATGTAAATCAAACCTGTCAACAGAAACATAGCGATGAGGGCCTGGAAGCGGAGGGTGGATGCGGCTATATGCCCCTAGTAATTGATTAATTGATTGATATATGTGTGTGTAACTATAGATGTTGATAAATGTATTTGTGCATTTATATGTGTGTGTATATGTATAACTGTATATCACTGTTGATAATGAATTTATCACCTGTGCATATGTACATGCTCTAATTTGGGTTGTATTTGCAGGCAGGAAAGCCAGGGTGTACTGGGATCCCCACGTCAAAACTTTCGACAACAAACACTACAATTACCACAAACCTTGTAACTTTTCATTGGTCCAACCTGGTTTGATACAGACTCCTAAATATGGAGTTTATGCTCAGTTTGCGTAAGAGCATTTTCGTGTATCCAGTCAAAATTTCCGACTCATAATTATATGTGTGTGTATGTATGTATATATATGTGTGTATGTATGTATAAATATACATATATGTATGCATATATGTGTGTATATATATACATATATACATACATATAGAGACAGATATGTATGTATATATATGTGTGTGTGTCTGTGTGTGTGTGTATGCATCTATGCATCTCTCTCTTTATATATATGTATGCATGTGTATATATATATTCTTATATATATATTATAAATGTTTGTGTGTGAGTGTGTGTGTGTGTGTGTGTGTGCATGTGTATGAGTGTGTGCGTGTACGTGCGCATGTGCGCGTGCGTGCGTATGTGTTTTCAAATGTATATATATGTGTGTGTGTGTGTCTGTGTTTATATGTATATATATATAAGTATATGAAATCTGAGACATAATCTCTTTTTTTCAGTGAGTGCATAGGACTTGGTACCTGTATTGAAAAAATAGTATTCAAGGACAATAATAATACTGTAATCACCATCTCTGTGAGAAATAAGGAAGAGCTTACCGTAAGTGCTTAAACATACATACCTACACACATACACATATATACATATATATATATATATATATATATATATATATATATATATATGTATATATATGTACATATATACATATATATATATACAGACACATATATACATACGTACATAGACGCATATGTATATATATACAAATCTGTATATGAATAATTATACAGACACATACATATGTATGTACATATATATATGTATGTATGTATATTTATATATTTGTATACATAAGTTTATATATTCATATATGTGTATGTTTGTGTGTGTGCATGTGTAGATATCTATATACGTATGTGTATATGTATATATATACATATATATATATATATGTATGTATATTTATACATAAATATGTATGTGTATATATATACATATATATATATATATATATATATATATATATATATATATATACGTATATATATATATATATATATATATATATATATATATATATATATATATATATATATATATATATATATTTATATATATATACATATAAATGCATATATATACACATACATATATATGTATATGAATATGCATATATATGTATACATATACATATATACATAAATATATATATACATATATACATATGTACATAGATACATACATATATTTGTATAGAAATATCTACACACACACACATACACACATGCACATACACACAAGCATTTATAATATATATATATATATATATATGAATAGATAGATACACATGCATATATATAGATATGTATATATGTATACATAAGTATATATATTTATATATGTGTGTGTGTGTGTATGTGTAGATATTTCTATACAAATATATATATGCATCTATGCACGTATGTATATATATATATATATATATATATATATATATATATATATATATGTATATGTATACATATATATGTATATTTATATACATATACATGTATGTATATATATATGCATATATATGTGTATGCATATATATATATATATATATATATATATATATATATTTATTTATTACTTTATATATTTACATAAACATATTCACATATATAAGCATATATGCATATATATGTATATATGTATATATATATTATGTGTTTGTGGGTGTGTGCGTGTGTGTGTTTGTGTATGTATATATGTGTGTGTGTGTATGTATATATGTGTGTGTGTATGTATATATGTATGCAGGTATGTACATACGTGTACGTGCGTGCGCGTGTGTGTGTATGTGTGTACATGTGTGTGTGTGTTTGTGTGTGCATGCATGTATATATTTGTGTGAGCGTGTATGTGTGTACAGCATATATACAAATATGCACTTTCCTCTCATTTTTCCTATTTTTTCCGTCAGGTATTTCTGAACGGCAAGGAGTTCCCCGTCAGCAGCGACACCCCCTCCTTCATGGTCCAGGACGGCGTGCAGCATCCCGTGCTCGCCTGGAGCCAGACGGGATCCAACTCCAGACTTCTCTTCGCTGGCTCCAGTAACCTGGTGGTGCGTAGCTTGGCCCGGGTCCAGTCGAAGGCCTCGCCGCTCGCTGATAGATGTGTGTGGAGTGATAGATGGACGGTGTGGACAGGCACTTCTGTCCCGCCTGTGTGTTAAGTGCTTGTTTGGTGCATGAAGCTGTGATGATAAGGATGGTAGTGGTGATACTGTTGGTGATTTCACCAAGAAAGCTGCTAATATTACTATATTGATGAGAATAATCTTGATGTGATCATGGCGGTGATGATAATGATGATAATGTTTATAATATTAATGATATTAATAATGATAATAACAATATTAGTGATAATGGTAATAACGATAATGATAATAAGATGATATAATAGCCATAGTAATAATGATGATAATAATAATGATAATGCTAATACTGAAAGTAGTAGCAGTAATAACAATATCAATAATAATGATAATAACAAAAACAGTAATGGCAGTATCAATAACAATAGATACGAGAATGCTCATACGAAGTTTCCCCTTGCAAATCCCCAAATGCCATCTACCCCACACAACCCACCTGGGCGTCTTCTCTCCAGTTGGAAGTCTCGAAAAACCACGTGTTCTTGTGGCTGCATCCGTCCCTCACAGATCACTACGGCCTCTGTGGAACCAGCAACGGCGTGCAGGACGACGAGTTCACAACCCGCTCGGGAAATGTGGTCAACTCCCTGACATCTTTCGCTGACTCGTGGATGGTAAGAAAGGGAGACAGAGAAATGGGGAATGAGACAGAGAGAAAGGAAAAGAGAGGGAGGGAGATTGAGGTGGGGATGTGAGAGGGGGAGGAGAGATGAAAGGAGAGGTAGAGAGATATGGGTAGGCGGGGAATAAGAAAGAAGAGAGGTAGGGGGATGGGAAGGAGAAGGAGAAAGGAAAAAGAGCGAGAAGTAGAAATAAAGGTGGGGGATAAAAAAAAAAAAAAAGAGGGGAGAGGGGGGAATAGAAGAGGGGAGAAGACCAGGGGAGAGGGACTGAAGAAGGAAAGCAAGAGGTAGAAGAAGGAATGGAATGAATATATAAGAGAGAGTGGGAAGGAGAGAGGCAGGGGTTTGAGAAGGAGAAGGGAGAGAAACAGGGGATGACAGGGGGAGGGGGGAGAGAGGTCGGGCGTAATAGATAGGAAGAAGGAGGGATGAGATGACAGAGGGAAAGAAGAGAGATCTGAGAGTGGGAGAGCAACAAGACACACAAACGACACTTCCTTTCCATCACCAATGCAGGCCAAGAAATCCCAACGAGGCAACGTAACACAAGCAAAAATTAGATAGATAAAACAAACACTAGTAACAAAGGAATAAACAAAAAAAACAAAAAAAACATTAATAACAAAAGGAAAACAATATAAGAATAAATACAAGGGTCACAAAGTAATAATGTATAAATATATAAATATATATATATCTATATTTGTGCTTCTGGTCTGTTACTATTGATTGTTCGTATATATATGTATACATATATATATACGAACAATCAATAGTAACACACCAGAAGCACAAACATATATATACATACACATATTTATATGCGAACAATCAGTAGTAACATTAAATGATAAAAGAATACAAGAATAAACGCCAGGACTGCAAATAACACGAAGGAACAAAACGAAACGAACAAACACTAGTAACACAAAGGAATAACCGATATGTTTAAGAATAATTACCAGTAGAAAAGAAAAAGAAAGAAGAAAAGGAACCACAGAAAGTCCAAAATACAAAAAAGGCAAGATATTTAACATTTTTTTCCTTCACAGACCGATACACAGACTTCGCCCGAATGCCTGACAAGCCAACGTTTCAAGAGAAATATCATTCTTAATGAAGTAAGTTTAACTGAATGAAAAGTTAATAAAGAAGAGACTACCAGTTTGCTCTCATACGGATATATGAGCGAATGTGGAAAGCGTGTTTTGCTCGTATTTACGGAAATCTATTTGTGTATATATATGTATATACATAAACATACATGTGTTTTATATATATATATAAAGTGTGTGTGTATCTTTGTGTAAATATATAAAGTCATACATCTGCACGTATGAATATACAGTTTTACCGATAACTACCGAAGCACCCCCCCCCCCCAACCCCAGACTGGCCTGTGCACCTTGGGGAACGACACGCTCCTCGACCTCGAAGCCATTTGCCGCCAAAAAGTCCCCGTCGTTCAGCACTCGGGCCAGGTTGTGGAGGCAGCCGAGGTCAATGCTCTCATGGGTAAGGTCGATGAGCTTTAATGACCAGGTGTGCTCAAGAACAGGTAAGGTCGTGTTTCCATGGATGGTCAGTGAGCAGGTCAGTTAAGAGGATGAATAAAGTTGTCGTTCACTGAATAATTCATGAATGGGTTATCTGGAGAGAGGATAGATGAAGTTGCTCATTAGAGGTAGAGTTATTCACTAAACGGCTTGATGCATATGAATAAAGAAAGAATAGGTTAAGCCCTTTTACACTAAATGCTTAACAAACATATATAAAAAGGGAGATCGGGTAAGGTTGATTATTACCAGGTTAGTAACACACGTAGAGTGAGACAGGGTAAAAACTTTGTTTATTAACTACTTAATGATCACATAAATGAAAGAATAGATAAAACTCTTATTCGCTGACAGACAATATGTCTTAAAAAGCAAAAGGTCGTTGTACACTGACGAGTTAGAGAACTGACTATTAACCAGAGCTCCATTAGTCTTTGCTTATGGATGGTCTTTGCTTAATGAACGCCTATGGATATCTATTTCTTACTGTTGTCTTTATATAAACAAGGACGTGTATATATAGTCTGTCCAATGAATCATAAAACATATCCGTAAACGTTTTCTATCCTATTTAATCATCTATTTTTTTCCTAGGAATGACCATTTCAGACTTTTATTAGACTAGTTATGAAATAAGTTATTTCTCATCTTATGGACAAAGTATTTTCCTTATTTTCATGTTAATTTTATTCCTTGAATTCAGTTACAAATCGAGAACTACTAAAATACGTCTAATCTTTTATCGGAATTTAGTAAATGAAAATTCATGAAAACAATGGCATTTAATATCTGATCCAAATTTATTGTGTTAAAAGCCTCTAAAGCGATACCAAAGTTGCCAACTTATGAACCGCTAGTTCCGACTCATGTATTCGAAGCAAATGCTGATATCCGATACTTGTGCTTCGAATACAGGGTTCGAAACTGGTAGTTCACAGTGGCAACAATACCTGTAATCAAACCTGGCATTTACACAGCACCCAATAAGACTGTCACTTGCGGAAAAGGTTGAGTCCCTCCTTGTCCAGCGGTAGTGACGGTTTTCTTTGACTGATACTTTGAGGGGTAGACTGAAATTGTTCCCTTTTCTGTTGATGAGAATATTCATTTAGATCCTGCAAATGCATTGATACTTTTTTGCAGAGGCTTGTACGTTTGACCTTTGCCTGCTGTACAGTAACACTGGCGGTAACATGACGGCCATTGAAGAGTACATTGACACAGTCATCGCTGATGTTGTTGTAAGGATTATCGAGATCGAAGCCGACTTGATAGGTACGCAGAAAAAGTATCGACTTTTTTTTTAAATGTGCTCTAGATTGAATGTACATGTTATGAGTGTACAGTGATTGCATATAGGATAAAATTTATGAACAAAAATATAAAGAAATAACTAAAATATGTGTACTATATGTTACTGACATTTTGTAAGTTTACTTAATAATTGCAAGGATTTCAGTTTCAAAAAGATTCACATTTTCAGGACTTATCATAGAATGATGTTTATGTAAAACAAAGTAGGCAATCCGTTGCTTTGACTGTAGCAACCACAAAATCTATGAACGAAGTCATTTTTGTATATAGTTAACAATTATTCCCCCACAGATGTTGAAAGCCTCACGACTATTGCGCCTCCGAACACGACGATAGGTGAGCTGGAGACATTTTAAAGTTAACTTGGTATCCTCAGAGAGAGAGAGAAAAAGCATATAATAGAGAAAAAAGGTAGAACAAACCAACAAAAAAAAAGCTAAAAAAATCAACCCCTCCATTCTTTCCAGCCCGAGGCCGTCCAAAGAGGAGGCGCACATACCTCAAGATTGAACAAAAGGTCTATCTTTAAGAACCAAGAGCATCCTGAAGATCGAGAATGATTTAACCCGATGATGGATACAAGGAGAGAGCCTAATACGAGGACCAGCTGTTTGGATCCACTGATCTGGAACGATCAGCTGATTTTAACTGAATTCCCGGATGTCTACAACATATTTTTTCTCCATTCACCTTTTTTTGTTTATTCTTATTTAGATCAGAGATTCTCTAGCATGGGTCAAATGCCATGATCCAGTTCTTAGAATTCTCGTTATTGATATATTGATTGACTAGAGATTTTTAAGATGTGATTATTAGAGGGAAATACTACGAACACTCAATGAATGATGTCAGTTATCACATTCCACAAGGTTGTCTTGTAACGGTGAATCAAATAAAATACGAAACAAAATTACCCTTTGTTTACGTTTTCCCTTATTCGTGAGTTTATAAGACACATGAATTGAGACAAAATAGACATCAGTAGTAACTAAAGCAACATACACGCACACACACACATATGTATGTGTGTGCATCTCTTTCTCTCTCACACATATATGTGTATGTGTGTGCGTGTGCATCTCTCTCTCACACACACACACAATACTTATATATATCCATACACACACATTATGTATATATATACATATTCATATATATCTATATATACATATATATATGAATATATATATGAATATATATACATATTCATATATATGCATATATATGTGTGCTGTGTGGTGCAGCGTTAGCGTTCTCGTCTAGCAATCTTGCTGACCTGCGTTCGAATCCCTCGCCGCCAGTGGATGGTAACCCCGGCCATTCCTTGCACACAGGGGATGATTTAGAAGCAAAATAAAACAGACAGCATGTCAGCACAAGAATATCCATTGTAACAAATGGAATCAAACTAAATTTTTAAAAAATGATAATAATTAAAATTTAAAAAATATTCATATATATATACATATATATTCATATATATATACATATATTCATATATATACATATATGTATTCATATATATATATATATATATTCATATATATGTATTCATATATATATATATATATATATATATATATATATATATATATATATATATTCATATATATATGCATATATATGATATACATATAATGTATATCCATATGTATATATAGCTATATTCATATAAAATCAACCGAAAAGGAATAATAATTAACCGAACAGGTTAAGATTATATAGTGGCAGAGAGACAGCACAAACAACAGCTGAATCGGGTCACAGGAGGAGGGTCAAGGTCGAAGAGTCTGGGGAAGGCTTTGCTAACGAGGAGGTAAGGTCATCCAAGCCCCATTGACCAGCACCCAAGGTAGAATTAGGCAACTTGCTAATGAACAGAGCTTTTAGCATTTTCTTTCATAAGAATTTGCTGATTTATGAGTTGATAATGATAATAATATATATACATATTCATGTATATGTGTACATATATTCATATACATATGTGTGTGCTTGTATATACATATGTATAGGTATACTTATATATGTATATATTAATACACAAAAAATATATATATGCAAATATACATATATACATATATGCTTACACATATATGTGTGTGTGTGCAAGTTTCTATATATACACATACATATATATACATGTGTATACATATATATATATATATTTATGTGTATATATCTATATATGTATACATACATATATATGTGTATATATGTATATGTATGTGTGTATACAAACTCACATACAAACACAAAAACATACACACACATATAGCCAATATAGAATATCTATCTATGTATGTATATATGTATATTCATATATATATACACTCAAATGTATATACATATACATATATGAATATACACATATATCTATACATATATATACTCATATATATATAGACACCTATATATATACTCATTGTAAGGGGTAATGGGAAGGGACCTCTCTACATTGGTGGCAGGGAAGTAGTAAAAGCTTAGTGGCTAAAAACTCTTTTATTGATAGAGCTAGCACACAGAGAATAAACACAAGATGACAAGGCTTGGGTTAAGGCGAGGGCGCCTAGGTCAGACGGCAAGCCCTACCAAACGGCAACCTGGCCGCGGGGTCAGGCGTGACCCACCTCGGCACAGAACACTTTGCTTTCAGGGACTAAAGACTAAGAGTTAAAAGAGAAAAGACCCGTTGCCGGGGGAAAGGAAGGCGGGAGAGGGGAAGGATAAAGGAGAGGATCGAAAGGATGATTTAGTAAGAGAGAAAGGGTCGGGGCTTAACCCAACATGCGGGGATAAAAGTTTGGGGCATAGCTGACACGGAGGAGGAAGGGAGGATAAAGGCTGGATCGGGAGGCCCCGCGCCATCTGTGTGTGCGTGGCCCGGGCATTATGGTACCCGCTTGGCGTGAACGAATTCACGCGTCAGCGAGACCCCATGCCCGGGCTGCGGCGCGCACTCGGCTAACGGAGGGGGGGTTGGGAGCGGTAATGGCCATGACATCTCCTCCCCCGCTCGCGTGTTGCCACTCCTTACGGCAAAGGAGCCACGGTCATTGCAGGGTGCAGGCGGCAGATGTCATGTGTCGGAAATCCGGAACCAGTGAGATGAGGGTAATCAATTGCTATTTGCGAAGTTCTAGCTTCGCCCAGGCCTTCGGCTAACTCAGAGAGTGCCAGAGGTTCATAGCCCGTTGCTTCTGAATACCATCTGGCCGAGGGGGAGGATCTCGTTGCCTCTCTGTGAAGCTGCAGGAGGAAGGAGTTGGCGACACCAGTACTCTTCTTCCGAAGTAAACTAGATGAGGGTAAGGATTAGGATAAGGGACGATTGCGCCATGGAGGGATAATGATATGAGGCGTGGGCGAAGCTGTGACTCAGGGGGAGTGGAAGGGAGTTAAAATCGGGATAGGGCTCTCTTAAAGGGTATGTTTATTTTGATGTAATTAAAAAGGAGGTAAAAGTAAAACAACCACTTAAAAAAACATTAAAATACAAAAGAACACAATCATTAAAACAAGAAACTAAAACAAAACGAAGGAAAAGTTAAAAAACAACGCGAACATAAATGTAAGAAAATTAAAAGCTTTAAAAAGTTGAGGTGTTAAATTCGGCGCTCGGCATCCGCGCTCGCGAGGCCCGGCAATGATTCCGGCAGAAGACCAAGTACCTGGTCGACCGATGCAAAGCAAGACGGAATGTCATGAGAGCAATGACTGGGAAACGCATAGGAGCCAGACACAAAGTACTAAGAGCCTTCTACGTACATGCTGTCAGGCCCATTGTGGATTACGCCTCAGTCGCCCTAATTGGCAGAAAGAAAAAACAGAGAAAAATTGGAAACAGTCAAAAATGAAGCTGCCAGAATCATTCTGACTGCCCCGAGGTGGTCAAAGGTCCCCAACCTCCTGATGGAGGCCTTTTCCCCCTGGACTCACGAATCGATCAAATGGCAGCCAATTTCTTTGCAAAGGTCATCCAGGCTCCAAGGAACACGAGCCTAAGAGAAAAATTAGTCAGACGCCTAGAACAAGAGCTCTTTGCCAACAGCACGTGGCTGTCCCACACAGCCAGGGTGTTGATAAGCTTTGAGCTTAAAGAGCAGCTCCTGACCAAGGGCATGGACTCACCCCACCCTGACTTTGTCGAAGCCCCGCCGTGGGCACAAAATTCGATAGAGTTCTCGGTCATGAGATTACCGCTCAAAAAGACCGAATATCCCACGCCTGGTCTAAAGGCAGAAACCTACAGGGTCATATCAGCCATCACCCCCCCGGGTAGTAGAACTTACTACACGGATGGATCGGTCGATCCAGCCAACCACACTGCAGGCGCCGGCTTCGCAGCAAGGGATGCCATGCACTCCATGAGAGTATCAGACAATGCCTCCTCGCTACAGGCAAAGGCCGTTGCGATCATGGGAGCCCTAGCCCACGCGTCCCCAATGGGAGGACACGTAGTCATACATACTGACTCTAGGGCAGCCATTGACTCTCTCAAGCTCAGCTCACCCAAAGACAATATCTACCTCCTGACCACAATACTAACAATAGCCCAAAGAATACTGGCTCAGGCAACACGCCTCTTTGGTCCTCTATTCCAGCAAGACAGGCGACCTGATCCCGGCCCGGTCACGGTCAATCGGCTGGTCTCCCATGGGAGGCTAGGATCAAGCAGTCATGCCTCCATTGGCACTCACAATGGTCCGTGAGTGCCGCCACAATGGTTATTGGCTGCGTATATCCTCTCATCACCCCTGTGGCCGTCAGACACTGGCTCTGACACACAGCTTCCCCTTGTTGGACTCCGTGGTGGGTGGGGGCATGAGAGGATGAAGCACTTGCCATTACATGGAAAAATTAAACAAAAAACCCCCACTGACTGATAACAATGTTGACGACCCATGCAAGGCCCAGACCACAGCAGCCACCTTGGAACCATTCTTGGCTCCAGATGGCGGATTAGTCCATCAATTAGTGAAAAAGATGGACTCTCGTGCTGGTCCCTCCAGACCAGCAGCCAAACCAGGGAGGCCCCTGAGTCCCCCTCAGAAGGCCTCCCCGGCAGGGACGGGAGCACAGGCTGGACCAGCCGAACCAGCAGCTGCTGCCCCCACAAACAAGCCCCCCAGCCGAAAGGGCGCACCGAAGCGACCAAGGCCGGAGACAGACTCTGACTCTGATGGAGAGTCTGGACCCAGCAAAAGTCGCTTCACCCAGTTCAAGGTCCCAGCCAAACCCGAAGGCTTCGACAATGCCTACCAGTTGGTTAGAGCATTGGAGATGCACAGGCAAATCTGGCTCTCTATCCGAGTTGCCAGAGACCAAGGCATGATCATAGTGCCGAAAGATCATGCCACCCAGAACTTCCTTCGGGAAATCAGGGAATTAAAAGATGGGAGAATAGTGAGTCTTTCCCCATTGACTCCCGAGGATAAGAGAACCAAGATGGTGCTACTTGGCTTCTCAGTCTCGTACGATGTGGAGCTAACCACTTCGCATCCTCAGGTGGTGGAGGCTTCCCGAATGGCAGTAGGGAAGACTCCAACCAGGCAAGTCCTGGTGACACTGAAAGGTGCCCCAACCGCTACCCTTGATCTGGGTAACTGGGGCACCTACAAGCTTCGAACGTATGTGCCAGAACCACTTCGGTGTTTCAAGTGCCAGAAATACGGTCACCACCAGGCTAAC